CCCTCCCTGCAGCGTCTGCGCCGCATGCACTCCCGGCTCCTGGTCACTGGCCTCCCTGAGACCCTGCCCCCCCTCCTGCGCTCACTTGCGCCGCCGTGCCTTCCTTGCGTCGAGGGGCGGCAGCGCGCCGCTCCTCACTCCTCCGAGTTTCCTCCGACCACTGCTCCTCTGCAGACTCTCCACATGGACGTGTGGGGCCCGGCCCCCGTCGGTGGAACGGACCAGGAGCGCTACTTCCTGCTGGTGGTTGACGACTACACACGCTACACCACAGTCTTCCCCTTGCGGCGCAAGGCGGATGTCAGTGGTGTCTTGATCCCCTGGATCCGTGCTACTCGTCACCAGCTGCGCGAGCGGTTTCGGCAGGACTTTCCAGTCCTGCGTCTGCACTCTGACAGGGGTGGTGAGTTCTCCTCTGGCGTCCTTGAGACGTTCTGCCAGGATAAGGGCATCGCCCAGTCGTTCACGCTTCCGGCCTCTCCGCAGCAAAATGGGATCGCTGAGCGTCGCATTGGCCTGATCATGGAGGTTGCTCGTACCTCCATGATCCATGCGGCTGCTCCCCATTTCCTGTGGCCGTTTGCGGTCCGATACGCCGCGCATCAGCTCAACCTCTGGCCCCGTGTCTCTGCTCCAGAGACCTCGCCCACACTCCGTTGGACGGGACAGCCTGGTGATGCGTCGTCGTTTCGGGTCTGGGGCGCGCTCTCCCTTGTTCGCGATACCAAAGCGAGCAAGCTCTCCCCTCGCACTCTCCGCTGTGTCTTCCTCGGCTTCCCCACCGACGCTCCACCCTGGCAGTTCTACCACCCTGCCTCGCGTCGTGTTCTGTCCTCTCAGGACGTCACCTTCGACGAGTCGGTCTATTACTACCGACTTCACCCGCACGCATCCCACCCGGTCCCTCTCGCGCCTCTCTTCCTGGTACCAGTCCCCCCCCCGGTAGACCCCCTTCCCCCACAGGGTCCTGCTCCCTCAGGTGTGTCCCAGGTAGACCCACCCCCCTTGGATGAGCCAGTTGAGATCTCTTCTGACTCCTCTGACTCACCTGAGGGGGGTGACGCCGTCGCCGACGACACGGCGACCACTCGCCGCACTCCTCGCTTGGAGACCCCCCCGGGTTTCCCGCCACGGCCGTCTTCGCCGCCTCCGCAGCCTGCTGCTGTGGACTCTGGAGCTGAGACTACTGGAGCTGGGGCTGGGGGTGGTGAGTCCGGGGGTGCCCGCTCTCCTTGTATGGCTACACCCCCCGGGTTCCCACCTCTGCCGTCTTCGCCGCCTCTGCAGCCTGCTGCTGTGGACACTGGAGCAGAGACTGAGGGTACTGAGCCTGGGGGTGCTGGGACTGAGGGTACTGAGCCTGGGGGTGCTGGGACTGAGGGTACTGAGCCTGGGGGTGCTGGGACTGAGGGTATTGGACCTGAGGGTGCTGCGACTGAGGGTACTGAGCCTGCGAGTGCTGAGACCGAGGGTCCTGCCTCTGGGGGTACTACGAGTTCGGGTGCTGACTCTGGGGGTGCTGCGAGTCCTTCTGGTGTTGGTGTCGTCGGAGCTCCTACCGGAGGACCTGGAGCTACTGGTGCGGGAGGTACTGGAGGTACTGCTGGTGCTGGAGGTCCTGGAGGTGCTGCTGGTGCTGGAGGTCCTGGAGGTGCTGGAGGTACTGGAGGTGCTGCTGGTGCTGGAGGTCGGGGAGCTGCAGGTGCTGCTGGTCCTGGTGGAGCTGCTGGTGCTGGAGGTACTGGAGGTGCTGCTGGTGCTGGAGGTCGTGGAGCTGCTGGTGCTGGAGGTACTGGAGGTACTGCTGGTGCTGGAGGTCGTGGAGCTGCTGGAGCTGCTAGTGCTGGAGGAGCTGGAGCTGCTGGGACTGGAGGTCCTGGAGGTGCTGGAGGTCCTGGTGGAGCTACTGGTGCTCTTCGCCACCTTCTCAGTCTTCAGCCAGGTGCTACTGGCTTCCCTGTGGCAGGTACTACTCCTCCGTTGCTGTGTCCACCGGCGGACCAGTCACAGCTGCCGCTGCTACCACACTCCCCACTGCCTGCTCCTGCTCCTTACACTGCGGTGTCAGAGTCCCTGACTGAGCGTCGAGAGCCTGAGACTCGTGCTTCCACCCCTGAGCGTCGAGAGCCTGAGTCTAGCTTTGACCTTGAGCCTGAGCCTAGAGCTGCTGTCCGTGCTCGTGTTCCTCGTGTTCGTCGTCAGCGTGCTCCGGCTGTCCCCGGCACTCACGATATGACACTCCGTCCTTCCTCTGTTCCTCAGCGTGTTGTCCTACCGTTACCTCCAGCGTCCTCTTTGCCTGACGTTGCTGACCCTCCGTCTGACCTTGCTCGTGCGTCCAGTCCGACTGTTACTCGCCTTCTTGCTACGGTTGTGACGGACCCTACGTTCTCGTCTCCTGCTGCGTCTGCCCTAGTAGCTGAGCTCGTTGACTTTGCTGCTGTGTACCGCCTCGACTACCTTGCGAGTCTTGTCTCTGACCCTGTCCCTGCCTGTCCTCCGTCCGTCAGGGGTGAGACTGCTCTTGGCTGCACTGCCCTTGGCTGTGACGTTCTTGAGGACAGACAGGAGGAGCTGGAGTGCCTTGCTGCCGCTTCACCCCATCACGCGACCATGCTGCTTGCCCCTGAGGGAGACCCGGATGCACTTGACATCCCCACCCCGCGCTCCTACAGGGAGGCGATTTCGGGTGAGTACTCCTCTCAGTGGCAGACAGCCATGGACGCAGAGATGGCTTCCTGGAAGTCCACAGGCACCTACGTCGACGAGGTTCCCCCACCTGGGGCGAACATCGTCAGTGGCATGTGGATTTTCAGGGTGAAGCGGCCGCCGGGTTCTCCGCCTGCCTTCAAGGCACGTTACGTTGCTCGAGGCTTCAGTCAGCGTGAGGGGGTCGACTTCTTTCAGACCTTCTCTCCCACCCCGAAGATGACCACTCTTCGGGTGTTGCTACACGTTGCAGCTCAGCGTGACTACGAGCTGCACTCCCTCGACTTCTCGACAGCTTTCTTGCAGGGTAGCCTTCACGAGGCCATCTGGTTGCGCCGTCCACAGGGCTTCACTGGGTCGTTTCCTGAGGGTACCCAGTGGAGCCTACGGCGACCAGTGTACGGCTTGCGTCAGGCGCCCCGCGAGTGGCACGACACACTGAGGACGACACTTGCGGCTCTTGGGTTTGCTCCTTCGACTGCTGAACCGTCGCTGTTTCTACGCACCGACACTACTCTGCCGCCGTTCTACATCCTCGTGTACGTCGACGACTTGGTTTTTGCTACTGCTGACACTGAGGCACTGGCCCTAGTGAAGGCGAAGCTGCAGGAGAGACACACCTGCACTGACCTGGGTGAGCTGCGGAGCTATCTTGGCTTGCAGATCACCCGGGACAGACCACGGCGCACCATCACCCTGACTCAGTCACACATGGTGCACCAGGTCCTACAGCGCTTCCGCTTCACGTACTCCTCGCCACAGCCCACTCCTCTGGCTACCGGCCACTCGCTCTCCGCTCCACCTTCGGACGAGCCCGTAGAGCCGAGTGGTCCGTACCCAGAGCTTGTGAGCTGCCTCATGTACCTGATGACGTGCACACGACCTGACCTCGCGTACCCTCTCAGCCTTCTGGCTCGCTACGTGGCACCCGGTAGGCACCGAAAGGTGCACTTTGATGCTGCGAAGAGGGTACTGCGTTACTTGTGCAGCACATCGGGCATGGGGCTCGTGCTTGGAGGACGGGGTTCGGTGGTCCTCACAGGACACTCTGACGCCTCTTGGGCCGACGACCAGGCGACTCAGCGTTCGTCACCGGGCTACACCTTCAGTCTTGGCGCTGGTTCTGTCTCGTGGAGGTCCACTCGTTCTTCTTCTGTGCTTGGTTCCAGTTGTGAGGCCGAGATCTACGCTGGGGCCATGGCTGCACAGGAGCTCCGCTGGCTGACCTACCTGCTGACCGACTTGGGGGAGCGGCCTCGTTCTCCTCCATTTCTGTACGTCGACAACAAGGCAATGCTTGCCTTGTGTCGCGAGCAGAGACTAGAGCACAGAACGAAGCACATTGCTCTGCGCTACTTCCTTGCGTGTGAGCTGCAGCAGCGTGGTCAGCTGCGCCTTGCTTTCGTGGCCTCTCGGGCCAACACTGCTGATGTCTTCACCAAGGCCCTTGGGGCTGGTGATCATCAGCGTTTCTGCACTGCTCTTGGGCTTGTGCCCACTCTGCCTCACCTGCTAGTTGCTTGACTTGCTCTTGTTATACACTGCTATATATATCTTTATACCTGCATGTTTACTGCCTTGCTATTATAAATCTGCATGTGAACTGGCCTTGTGGCCGCCTGCTTGTGCTCAGATTGTGTGGTGTCCTTGAGATCCACCCTGGGCTTTGCCTTGCTTGTTCTGTTGCTTGACTGGTCTTGTGACCACTGTTAGGTTTGGCTATCCCCTACTTCACCTATGGGGGTGTGTCAAAACATATTGTTATGTTCTTACTCTAGGTTGTGTAGGGTCACACCTTAGAGGGTACAACCCAACTCTCTCGACACTCTTGTACCCCCTCTCCCTCACCTAATCATCATTCCTCACCTAGCTACTAGTGATTCTAACAAGGGGCGCACGACGGCGCGAGGTACTATCAGACACGGTCGCGCAAGGGCGCGGCGGAACGGTGGGCCCTAACCAACGTCGGTCCTAGGTCCTGACCTAGGCGTCGGATACCATGTTAGAATGTAGAACTGAACGAGAATGATTGAACTAGGAATGTTGAGAGTACAAGTAGGAAACCCTAGAGTAATGTACCCCCTAAAGGCTAACCCACTGTAGCCTACACAGCAGTGACATATATAATGTTTGACACCTTCAACTCACGCACACATCTCTTCCCCTCACGCACACATCCCTTCCCCTCACGCACACATCCCTTCCCCTCACGCACACATCCCTTCCCCTCGCACACATCCCTTCCCCTCACGCACACATCCCTTCCCCTCACGCACACATCCCTTGCCCTCATGCACACATCCCTTCCCCTCACGAACACATCCCTTCCCCTCACGCACACATCCCTTCCCCTCACGCACACATCCCTTCCCCTCACGCACACATCCCCTCCCCTCACGCACACATCCCCACCCCTCACGCACACATCCCTTCCCCCTCACACGTCCAGTCCCTCCCCCTCACGCTTCCATTCCCTCCCTCTCACGCTTCCATTCCTTCCCTCTCACTCTTCCATTCCCTCCTCTTTAAGCCTCCGTTTCGGAGGCCTCCCCTCACGCTTCCATTCCCTCCCCTTCACGCTTCCATTCCTTCCCCCTCACGCTTCCATTCCCTCCCCCTCACGCTTCAAGTCCCTCCTCTGCACGCTTTCATTTCTCCCGCCTCCCCTCACGCTTCCATTCCATCCCCCTCACGTTTCCCCTCCCTCCCTTCCGTTCCCTTTTCACTTTTGCACATCCACTCCCATCCATTCCAACCCTTCACCCATTTCCTTCCCTTCCCTCTTTTCCCTTCCCTTCCCTTCCATTCCCTTCATATCCCTTCCCTTCCCTTCCTTTCCCACCCCTTCCCTTCCCTTCCAGTACTATCCCTTCCTGTCCCATCCCCTGCTTACCCTACCATTCCCTTCCCTTCCTCTCCGTTCCAGTCCCCTCCCTTGCTTCGGGTGCCCTTACCTTCCCTTCGTCTCCTTCCCTTCCTTTCCCTTCCCTTCCCAACCCTCCGTTTCTCTCCCCTTCCTTTCCAATCCCTCCCCGTTCTCGCTTCCACTCCCTCTCCCTCACGCTTCCATTTCCTCCCCCCCACCTTCTCGCTTGCATTCCCTCCCCTGCACGCTCCCATTTCCCGCCCCCCCCTCCCCCCCTTTCACGCTCCCATTCCCTCCCTTTCACGCTTCCATTCCCTCCCCCTCAGGCTTCCATTCCCTCACCTACGCGCTTTCATTTCCCTCCCCCTATCGCTTCCAATCACCCCCCCCCTCGTTTCCATTCCCTCCTCCGCTCGCACACGTTCCCGTTCCCGCCCGCTTCCATGCTATTTCCTGCACGCTTCCATTCCCTCCCCCTCACGCTTGCATCCCTTCCCTTCCTTCCCTTCCCTTCCGTCCCTTCCCTACCCATCCCTTCACCATCCTTCGGTTTACCACCCTCTCTTTCCTCTCCCCTAGTTTTCCCTCCCTCCCCTTCCAAACCTCTGCCAATGATTTCCTCCACTCCCACCCCTTCCTTCCCTACCATTTGCTTCCCTTCCCGCTTTTCCCTTCCTGTTCACGCTTTCACACCCTCCCCCTCACCATTGCATTCCCTCCCCACCATCCCCCCCCCCTTCACACTTGCATTCCCCTCCCCTGCACGCTTCCATTTTCATCCTCCACCCCCCTTTCACGTTTCCGTTCCCTCCCCCGCACGCTTCCATTCCCTACCCCCCCCCTCCCCCCCCCCCCCCCCCCCCTCACGCTTGCATTCCCTCCCCTGCTTGCTTCCATTCCTTCCCCCTCACGCGTCCAGTCCCTCCCCCTCACGCTTCCATTCCCTCCCCCGAACGCTTCCATTCCTTCCCCCTCACTCTTCCATTCCCCTCCCCCGAAGGCTTTCATTCCCTCCCCCTCACTCTTCGATTCCCTCCCCCTCACGACTTCCTTCTTCCTCTCACTCTTCCATTCCCTCCTCTCCACGCCTCCATTTCCCCCGCCTCTCCTCGCGCTTCCATTCCCTCCCCCTCACGCTTCCATACCCTCCACCTCACGCTTCCATTCCCTCCCCCTCACGCCTCCATTTTTTCCCCCTCACGCTTCAATTCCTTCCCCCTCACACAAACATTCCCTCCCCCTCACGCTTCCGTTCCCTCCTCTGCACGATTTCATTTCTCCCGCCTCCCCTCACGCTTCCATTCCACCCCCCTTATGTTTCCCCACCCTCCCCTTCCGTTCTCTTTTCACTTATGTTCATCCACTCCCATTCCTTCCAACCCTGAACCCCTTCCATCCCTACCATTTCCTTCCCTTCCAGTACTATCCCTTCCCGACCCATCCCCTGCTTACCCTGCCATTCCCTTTCCGTCCTCTCCGTTCGAGTCACATTCCCTCCACCTTACTCACTTGCCAGACACCTCTCCGTGCTCTCTAGAGGTGGTTGACTCCTTTCTCCATGCCTCTCATGCCTGCTCACATCTGCTTTTCGCTGACTTCCCTCAACAGGTGCGCACTCAATCTCCCCAGCAAGTGACATCGCTGACGGTATGCGTACTGCAACACGACGTTGTCTCAGACCTAGGTGTGTAGCGAGGATCGAGGAAAGCCCTTGTGTACGCTCATCTTCGCGTGTTCAGCGCAGACCACCGTGTCCACATCAATCTTCTTGTTGCCTTTCAGTGAACGCCTATGGCAAAAGCGGCGCCGTGGGAAATTGGGCCCGGTCAATGCGTTATGTGAAGATGATGATGAGGGAAGTAATAGGGGGAAACACGGAAGGGGCCACATTGCAAGCCCTAATGCCCCAGCTGTCCAGTTTGTGCCATGCCTGAGGGCTCTGCAACGAGTGAGGCGCACGTACCAACCCACGGGGGAGCCGCCCATTCGGCACATTCCAACGTTTTGCTGGACATTGTCTCATTTTTCCACTGCATTTCGCAAGCAATATGAGGTGCTGGAAGAGTGGGGTGCAAACATCTTAGAGTTACCATACGATAGTCAGGATCATCTCAGCAAGAGGGGCCAGACGGTTGAGAATATCATTAGGATTTGCTGTGGGGCCAACACTTCTGAATCTTGTGAAGGGGAGGCCATTCTTCCTAAACACCATAGGTTTAGGTGTTACCTAGATTATTCGGAACTACTAGGTGACCATCTAGGCGACCTAGTTCGATTGCCATGGATTGTATATGTGACGATAGGGTCACTATATCCTGAGACGAGCGGGGAAGGGTACCTGAACTGTTTCGCAGAAGATGTCGCGTTGTTCAGCGCTTCCTGGGAGGTTCTGGACGAGATAGACTTCACTGCAGAGACTTTTGCAAGTATTGCATCGGGGCCACAGTAGCTAACTCTTTGATTTAGTGTGATTGGGAGTGAAGGGACGTTTGGGGAGGGTGGGTATAAACATCTTGGGCACATTGTTGGATGCAACGGTACTGGTAGCAACTGTTTCTAGTTCTGTACGACGTCATGTTCTACTGTACATGGTTTCCGTTATGGTTTTGCAACAAGTGTTTGTTCCACTTTCGTCCCAAAAAGCGGCATGTCTGCGCATTAGAGTACGGGCCTTGTGAAAGCTATGGTCCCATAACAAATTCCCCAACTATGGGTTTTTTATTGGTATTTCTGGCAATAACAAAAAACAACGGTCACCGTTATGGTTTTGGAACACAAGATTGTGCGCCTTTCGAGTCGAAAAGCGGCCTGAGGGTGCATTAGACTATGAGTACTGTGAATATGCAAACACATGGCTGTGGTGCAATACTAAATTCCACAAGACTGGGTTTTTTAGCCGCATGTTAACCAAAAAAACGGTAAAATTTGTCACCATTAAGGTTGTCGAACACAAGTTTGTGCGCCTTTGGAGCCGAAAATCGGCCAGAGGGTGCATTTGACTATGGGCTTTGTGAATATGAAAAAACAATGCTGTGGTGCAAAACTAAATTCCACAAATATGGATTTTTTAGCCGTTTTTTAATGAAAAAACGGTAAAATTTGTCACCATTAAGGTTGTCGAACACAAGTTTGTGCGCCTTTCGGGCCGAAAACCGGCCGGAGGGTGCATTAGACTATGGGCCATGTGAATATGAAAAACCAATACTGTGGTGCAATACTAAATTCCACAAATATGGGGTTTTTAGCCGTTTTTTTATGAACAAAATGGTAAATTTTGTCACCATTAAGGTTGTCGAACACAAGTTTGTGCGCCTTTCGAGCCGAAAAGCGACCGGAGGGTGCATTAGAATATGGGGCATGTGAATATGAAAATTCAGTGCTTTGGTGCAGTACTAAATTTCACAAATATGGGTTTTCTAACCGTTTTTTAATGGAAAAATGGTAATTTTTGTCACGATTAAGGTTGTCGAACACAAGTGTGTGCGCCTTTCGAGCCGAAAACCGGCCGGAGGGTGCATTAGACTATGGGCCATGTGAATATGTAAAAACAATGCTGTGGTGCAATACTAAACTCTACAAAAATGGGTTTTTTAGCCGTTTTTAAATGAAATCAATGGTAAAATTTGTCACAATTAAGGTTTTCGAACACAAGTTTGTGCGCCTTTCGAGCCGAAAAACGGCCTGAGGGTGCATTAGATTATGGGCCATGTGAATATGAAAAAACAATGCTGTGGTGCAATACTAAATTCCACAAATATGGGTTTTTTAGCCGCTTCTTCAAGAACAAAACGGTAAAATTTGTCACCATTAAGGTTGTGGAACACAAGTTTGTGCGCCTTTCGAGCCGAAAATCGGCCTGAGGATGCATTAGACTATGGGCCCTGTGAATAATGCTGTGGTGCAATACTAGATCTAGCAAATATGGGTTTTTTAGCCGCTTTTTAATGAAAAAATGGTAAAATTTGTCACCATTAAGGTTGGTTTCAGGGTTGGAGAGGAGGGTGAAGATGATGAAGGGGAGGAGCGGGATGGACGATGTGAGCAAGGTTCAATGGCCACGACTAGAATGGGTGCCATATCCGTGCCTAGTCGTTCAGTTGTCGCTAGCACAGCGCATCCGAATCCAAGGTTACGCCCTTGAAGAGTGATCCGACCAACCAGTTTGCCCCCACAGATTTACTTGGGGAGACAAAACAGAATCACTTGGGGCATAGGTTGGACCCTCGTTGCACCTGCAGTATGTACAAGGATTGGAAATAGTAGGGAGGAGGAGGGGAGAGACAAACATGGTTATGGCCAAGGACAGAGAGTGGAGATGATATGATGATGGAGAAAAATTTAGTGTGTGTTGGGCAGAGGATGGACTCCAGGTCCAACTGCACGCCGCACGGAGGGGTATTGCAAGGGGGTGAAGAAGATGTTGAAGGAGCACAAGCGGTCCCTCTTTGTCTTCCCCCTGTCGCTCAACCCTCCCCCTTGGTCCCTCTGTGTTTTCCCCCTGAATTTCTCCCCTTCTCCCCCAGTCCAAAAAACAAGCAGAATGTCGGGCAATATGCGGCAATATGCGGCAAACAATCCAGAAACATGCAGAATGAGGGTGGGCATGAAACTTGCGACATGGAGCAGGAAACGTATGGCAACGAGGTGAGAGCCGTTGTGGAAGTCAAGGCTGGGGTCATATCCTACCAAACGTCGGACTTTCTCCTTCTTGGTGTGATGAGATGCGCCTACGTGGTGATGGTAGTCTTGTAGGCTGACGGCATGGGTGGAAAAAACCGTGTGAGTCGGTGAATTAAAGGGGAGGGTGGGGAAGGTGGGGAGGGTGGGTTGGGTGTTTGTTGTGTACCTTTGGCCAAACACCCATGCTGTCTCACATGGTCTATACCAACTAAAAGCACATGCAACCACACGCATATCTTGTTACAAACCAGAATCGCCATCAAATTTTCCCCCCTTGGGCTCATCTTTCTTCCCCTCCAGCAGCACCTATACCCCTCCCCATCTCAATATTGTCGCATCACTCACAGTACAAATATCTGTCTCGGTCGTTTGCCGGGAGCACGCACACTTGTTTTTGTCCCAGCCGCATCGTCTAAGGTTGGTGATGTCCCCTGAAGAAAAGGTGGAAATGTAACATTATAACAAAGACACAGCGATCCAAGACAAAAAAAAAAAAAAAAACCATACGCCACCAGCAGCCTGGTGCGTGTTGTTTTGGTACATACGGAAAAGCGGCCTGCATGCGGAGGCCCGACGAGGATTGGATCTCGTCCTCCGTCGTCGATCGGCCCAGCTAGTTGGCGTGAGGTCACCAGTCGAGGTAAAGGTGAATATGGCGGTGGGAGGGGTGGCTGGTATGGTCACGTCATTGGTGGGGGTGATCCTTGCGAGTGGAGTGGAAGGTGGCTGTAGCTGGGACAGGTCGGGAGGGGATGGATCTGCTGCACCCTGTGCTGGTGGAGCTGCGTGTGCGGGCACTGGCGTAGGAGGGGCTGCATCATCTGGAACCTGGTTCGGCTGTTCATCATCATCCTGTCCCTGCGCCGGGGGGATTACATCCTCAGGCTCCAACCCTACATCTCGCCATTCGGACATGAGCTTGTCCAACCAGCTCCAGTCCATGGCTTCTAAAATCCGCTCCTTGTTACCACGCCGTACCCTGGTCGTCTTTCGGACACGAGTCTTGATGACGCGGACCAAGCGTGACACAGTTTGGTTCCAGTGCAAGACCGAAAGGCCGACTCTCGCCACCATACTCCCCTGAAATCTTATACGCTTTGGGGCGTACTTGATCACAAGGGAATGGAAAGATTCATTAACCCAGTTACTCGCCCCCATCACGTAGGCCTCCATTTCTTTCGGACTGCAATGTTCAGCCAACCATTTTTTTAGTGCCAAATGGGCCGCAGAGCCTCGCTCATAAATGGCACTCTCCGGTCCCCACTTTCTCTGCCACACACCTGGGTACCTCATCCCCATGCCCACAATTGCTGTGGTCCCCTGCCCAATGGTCTGCCGAACCTGCAAGTTCTTGCGCAACCCGCTTGGCTGAAGGTCTTCGTCCTTCCTTTGCCATCGTAGCACACTTCAACATGACATGGTTGAAGTGTGTACCCCACCTTTGAGCCAATGTCACTTCCGTGTACTCTGCGTCATCGTCTTCCGCTTCGCCACCCCGCTTCCGCTTCCTACTCCCCCTCTCTGTCCAACGCCCTTTGTTGGATAGCCCGTCTTGAGGGAGTTGGTCCACGGGGATGGCAGGCGCCTCCTCCCACTCTGCCAACATGGATCGGAAATAAGTGGAAGAGTAAGTTTTACTTGTCTCAGCCCCCTAGCCTCTGTCCCACTCACCAATCCACCTCATGAAGAGTTTCAGCGCCCAAACCTCGCATCCACTCACCCGTCCATTGCATGACATGTTTCGGCCACCATGCCGCTTTCCCACACACCCATCCATGCATTCACTTACCAATCCATACTAAACCCTCATGCCTCTCTCCCACTCACCCATCCATTGCATGGCATGTTTCAGCCCCCAGACCTCGCAATCACTCGGCAATCCATCTCATTATGAGTTTCAACCCTCATGCCTCTCTCCCTCTCACCCATCCATTCCATGACATGATTAGACCACCAAACCACGCATATGTATAAACCCATCTCAAAATGAATTCCAACCCATCGCATGATGTGTTTCAACCCCCACTCCTCGCATTCAAACACCCTAAATCCATATCATGATGAGCTTGTGCCTCATCTCACCTTCAACATTGCAATCTCCAACTCCAGTAGCCCCCTCCATCACCTCTCCAACTTCAGTAGCCCCCTCCATCACCTCTCCAACTTCAGTAGTTCCGTCGGTCTCCTCTCCAACTTCAGTTGCCCCATCCAACGCCTCTCCAACGCCAGTAGCCCCCTCCACTTCCTCTCCACTCATCAATGTATCGGTTGTAATCCGCACGTAGTCAGCTACCCCTGACGTCGGAACACCACGTGTTGGATGTGCGTCAAATCCCCATAGCTATTGCACATCCCGGCACTGAACATCGATGATGTTCTATGGTGTCCATGTAGCATCAGCGTCGTCCTCATCCTCCGCAGCTGCATGAGCAACTATAAGCCCAGATTGCCCAACCCCATCCTCTGTTGTTTTTCGGCGCTTGGCTAAGCTAGCTTGACACCCCCCCAAACTCTCCTTCATCAGCAGGACCTTGCGCAAATCCGGGTAAAGCCACACAGACGTTGGAACTGCTTTTGGGTCGTATTTAAAGGTGTTGAGCCGCGCACATACTAATTCAATGAGTGCGGGCTTTGGTGAATTCACATTCAGGTCCCCGTCCCCTCCGCCATGTTTCTCCAACCATGCCCAGAGGGGTCGCTCTAGTACACAACCAAAGGTCCCCTGTGCACGTAGCGTTTGCTATTTTCATCGGCGGTCGCCGTGCGTCTATCAATAACACGAGGAATTTATTCAACAATGCTCTTGCCTTATGCCACACATCCTTTTGGTGTGCAATCCCCAACCCTTGGATGCCATTCTTGAATGAACCACCATCGTCAGAAATTATACCTCTCACGTCGCATCCCATTTCCCTTAGCTGCTTGAGGCCGAACTCGAAAGCGACTGCCTCCGGCGCGGTAGAGGAGACCTTCACCTTAGACTTCCACTTCGTCGTCGTGAACATGATTTTACGAGTGATGGGGTCAATGAATGAAACTGTGCACCAATCTGCCTCGCGTGATTGAGACCAGCGTCCATCCACGCATAACCATTCAAATGGAATCAGTCTTTTGCTCATCTCTGCCCGAACTGCTGCCATGGAGCTCTCTGCCTTCTTCTCTATTGCTCTATTGCATTCCACAACCCCAATGGCCCTCTCATGTACCTGTAGAAAGTCTCTGTGCTCAAACTTGGGATACCGAGCGTCCGTGTCACCTCCCACATCTGCTGATACCCAATGCCCGCTAGCCCAAATGCGGCAATGTACTTGGGCAGCAAGAGGGGTGATTGTGACCCTTTGGTAGTATTTTTCCCTGTCGTGCAGCCGCGCTTCGTGGACCAGAATTGTAACACCTTGCCGCAGGTATCACAAACCCATTCCAGGCAAAGACAGGCCCAGACTCGTCTCCAAGACGAAAGCCTCATCTTCCCCGTGCAACCTTTGGTCACACTGCAGCATTAAGCTCATGGTTGTGAAGAAGCGCACTAGAACTCGGGGGTCCAGCAGACATACCAGTCCGTTTGCGAAATCTTTGGGCTTTGGCACGGCGAGTGGTCGTGACTGTGTTTTTCGTGGAGCGACCGACGTGGTGGGCAGCAACCTGTAAACATACATAGCGGGTAGACACAACACAGGGTAGAGATGTAGGTTTGCGACGAGGACATATGAGTTTCTGCCCCCAAGCACCCTTTTACCATCCCCCATCCCTCACTCCCGAGTCTCATCCCCCATCCCTCTATTTGCTAAACATACCCCCTCGCACACCCCTAATTGTTCCTGTCCCCATCCACCGGTCCCTCTCACATATGGCTCCACGAGTTGTGGTCCCCATTTCCTACTCACCCACCTCCCCCTCTCAGTTGCAGCCCCCCAATACTCTCGCCAACATACATGTTTTGCATTTCCGTGTGGTACGCCGCACACAACTCAGCCATCTTGTCGTTCCCACTGGAGTTTTCAACCACATGTGGTCCAAGATCACCACCTCCTGCGTCTCCAGACCCGTCCTCCACGCTCTCGCTCACCCTCAGCCCATCGCCCGCAACGGGAAGCTCATCTGGTGGGGGTACGACGTCGCCACCCTGGTCCGTTGATGCTCCGCCTAGTCCCTCTTGAGCTGCATTAGGGATAAAAAAGGTCATGTAGACAAAGGATATTCATAAAGAATGGTTTAGGAGCTGCCCAGACCGTCGTGCCATCAACTACTCGGCTAAGCACAGTAGTCTTACCAGCTCGTTTCATCGCCATGTACTCGATCCCTTTCCTCTTTCCACCATGCCCGAAACCCTTGTCGGGCTCCAGCTGTCCTTTAGCATTCTTCGTGTATGTTGGGAGGTTGAACTCGTAGCTTTGCATGGCGCTGACGTTCCTTTCGAGCACCTCTTTTACAGTGGCATCATCCCCCTTGATCATGCTACAGAAAGCGCTCTCTTGTGCGTCAAGTTGCAATTTTGCAGTTGCGAGGGCAACATCTCCATGAAATCCTAGAGTAGCATCAAAGCACAGAGTTGTACAAAAGGGTAATTTAGGCAGTTTGGACAATAGAGGTTGGGTGCAATGATATGCCCGTCCACCAATTCTCACAGCCGTCAATCCACACCGCATGAGCGCCATCGGAATTCGCATATGTTTTCCAAGGGATACGTTACGCTGTTTCCATTTCCCCATTATTTGTTTGAACGGATGCTCCCCCTCTTCACCCTCATTGTCATGGAGGGCAGTTGTGATTTCCGACACGGCCTCCACCTGTGGTGGAAATGGTGGTTGTTGGGTAGGGGAACGGACACCATGGATGTGGAATGCTTCGGTGTTGGAAACGCAAGGGTGGTGCGTGATAGCAGGGAGAGCTGAGGTGGGGTGAAGGAGTATCCATGCCCTCCTATGATTGGGAATGGGTGGTGCGTGCTAGCAGGAATGTGCGGAAGTGCAGTGAAGGAGCAGCTCTGCCCTCCTACGCTCCTCTGTTGGTGGGGAAATGGGGGCGCATGGAAACAGGGAAGGCGGATGTGCAATGGAGCAGCTCTGCGTTCCTATGCCCCTCTGTTAGCATGCTAACGGTGGTTTGTGAAAGCAGGGAGGGTGGGCTTAGGTGCAGTATTCGAGTAGACCTGCCCTCCTATGCTCCTATATTGGAAAGGATAGGGTGGTGCGTGATAAGCAGGGGGGGCTTTGGTGGGCTGAAGGAGTAGCTATGGGCTCCTTTGCTCCTCCCTTTCCCGGAAAAAGGGTGGTGCGTGGTAGCATGGAGGGAGTGTGCTCGTTGCAGTGTACGAGTAGCTCTACCCTCTTGTGCTTGTCCTGTAGGGTGGGAATTGGCGCTACGCGAAAGCAGGGAGCGCCGAGGTGGGGTGAAGGAGTAGCGATGCCCTTCTGACAACAACCCCCTTCCCACTATGCCCTCACCTCCTCCTCCATCCCCCATCCAACTCCCTTCCCGGCCTAACCTCACCCCCCTTCCCCTTCACACCCACCTCCCTTCCCCCCTCTGCCCTCACCTCCCTTCCCTACCCCGCAGCACCTCCCTTCCACCGAAGACTTCAGTTCCGTTCCCCCTCTGACCTCAGCTCCCTTCCGCCTCTCTCAACACCTCCCCCCCCACTCTGCCCTCGACTCTTTTTCCCCTTCTGTCCTAATCTCCCTTCCCCCATCTGCCCTCACCACAGCACTCCCCTTCTCCCCCTGTCAGCACCCTCCTTCCCCCTCTCACAGCACCTCAACTCCATCATACGACGTGGCTTCCCTTTCCACCGCTCACAACACCTCCCTCCCACCCTCCAACCTCACCTCCCTTCCCCGCTCTAACCTCACCACTATCCACCCTTCTGCCCTCACCTCCCTTCCCCTTCTGAAAGCAACCCCCTTCCACATCTGCCCTCAAAACCCTTACCCCATCCTACATATCCCTTCCCTCCCGTTTAGCACCCTCCTTTCTCCACTCATTGCACCTCAACTCCCCCTTCTGACGTGCCTTCCCTGCCTCCTCTGAGTTCACCGCCCTTCCCCCTCTGTCCTCTCCCCACTTCCCCCTCTGCCCACACCTCCCTTGCCCCTATTTCCTCACCTCTTATCCCTCATATTACCAAGTCTCCTTTCCCCCTCTGACAATAATCCCTTCCCCCTCTTCCCTCAACTCCTTCCCCCTTCCTTTATCACCACCCTTCCTAGTCTGACATCACCTCCCTTTCCCCACTCACTGCACCTCCCTTCCCCCTCTCACAGCATCCCCCTTCCTAAACACACAGCACCTCACTTCACCCTTTGGCCTACCATGCCATCCGTCCTCTCTCAGCTCCACCCTTCCCCCTCTGATGTGACCTCCACCTCCCTTCCCCTTCCCCTAAACCCCCCTTCCCCCGTCTGCCCTCACCTCCCTTCCCATTCATCGCACACCTCCCTTCCCCCCTCTGATCAAATCTCCCTTCCCCCTCTCACGACACCTCCCTTCACCCTCTGCAATATCTTTTTTTCCCCCCTCTGACAGCATCTCCCTTCCACTTCTGACAGTACTCCCTTCCCCCTCTGCCCGTACCCCCCTTCCCCCTCCCGCAGCACCTCCCTCCCCCCCCTTTCAGCACCCTCATTCCCCCTATGACAGCAAGTCACTCCTCCATTGACGTGACCTCCCTAGGCCCACCGTATTCGTTCCGCTCTGCCCGGCAGTCACTTTTTTCCTGCCCGGCCCGTCGTTTCTGCCCTGCCCAACACGCCGTGGCGCTGCTGCCCTGCCCTGCCCGGGTGCTGCCGCGCTGCCTGCCCAAAACCGCGCGCTGTCGTGCTGCCTAGTGCGCCCGGCCGCCTGCTGCTCGCGCTGCCCGCCTGCTGCTCGCGCCGCCCGCCTGCTGCCCGCACGCTGCCCGTACGCTGCTCGCACGCTGCTCGCGCTGCCCGCACGCAACTCACTCGCTGCTCGTACGGCCCGCACGTTGCCCGCGCGTCGCTCATGCTGCCTTTTGCCACCCGCGCTGCCTGCTCGCTGCTGGCCCGCCGCCCGCTGCCCTGCGCGCTGCATTGCCCGCGCTGCCTGCGTTCGCCCTGCCTGCGCCGCCCGCTCATGCTCCTGCCCTGCCCCTGCTGCACTGCTGCACCGCCAGCTCGCGCCCTGCCCTGCCCTGCTTGCGCGCCTGCTGCTGCTGTTTGCACCACCGGCTAACGCGCCTGCTGCTGCTGCCTGCGAGCCACCGAGCTGAGCCGCCAAACCGAGCCGCCCAGTCAAGCCGCCCGTTCGAGCCGGCCTGCCGAGCTGCCCAAACCGAACCGCCCTACTGAGCCGCTCCATGCTGCTGCTGCCACTACCGTTCTACTGCTATGGCGACCCCTACTGTTCTTACCTTTGACGGAGAGGGCCACCCAGTAGACTTCGAGTCCTGGTTAGAGGAACTCCACTGGTACCTGCAGAGCCAGACTAGGGAGTATGTCTCTTTCTATGAACATACCTCGGGGTCCCTCGATGCCCCTCCTGACTCAACTGCGCATGTAGACCAGTCTAGGTGGACTTCTCGTGATGCTACTGCCGCTCTTGCTGTCCGTAGCCACCTTCCGCTAGACCAGCGCTCCCACTTTCGCCAGCTTAAGATGGTCAAGGCGCTTTACGACGCTGTAGTCACGAGCTACTCGTCCCCGTCGTCTGCCACTGTAGGCCGTCTGGCACTGCCGTTCCTCTTTCCCGAGCTGTCGGACTTCACCACTGTAGCCGACCTCCTGACTCACCTGCGCTCCCTTGAGACCCGCTACGCTGCCGCCCTCGAGCCTGCCTTTAGGGCTGAGAACCAGCCACCCATTTATCTCACCCTTTACTTTCTCACGACCCGCCCCCCTGACTCCCTTCGTGCTGTACGCGACCGCTTCCTCGCTCTAGACCCCACGAAGATCACCCTCGCCTCGTTTGAGTCCCGTCTCTTAGAGGCTGAGTCCGCCGCCCTAGCTGTCGCTGCCTCTCGTGGCACTCCCCTCCCCTCTGTCTTTGAGGGATGCTCCCCCTCCCTGCTCGCGCTGTCTGTTGCCTCTATTGCTGATGTTGACCTCTTCGGTGCTGAGGAGGTTGGTGCTGCTTCTGCTCCTAGTGGGAAGCGCCGCAGCGGCAAGGGAAAGGGTGGCAAGGGTGGGGGTGGCGGGGGTGATGGGGGTGGCGGGGCGGCGGTGGTGGCGGTGGAGATGGTGGGGGAGGAGGAGGTGGAGGCGGCAGGGGAGGAGGAGGGGGTGGTGGGAGCAGTGGGGGTGGTGGAGGGGGTGGGGTTGGCACTAGGGGTAAAGCTGGAGGAGGAGGGGCTGGAGGTCCGGCCACTCGTTCAGCTGCGTCTGGTGGTGCACGGGGGGGTGGAGGTGGCTCTGGGGGTGGCCAACAGCAGCAGCCGAGCCGCCAGGCACAGCTTTTGCCGCAGCAGCTTCGTGAGTGGGCGATCCGACGTGGCAGCTTGGGTGGCCCAGCTCGCTGCGGGTACGTCCGTCGCACAGGTCAGCTTGGAGCGACCTGCACACGCACCGACCACACCGAGTCTCGTTGCTTCTTTCGCCTCGACGATCTGTATCGTGGGGAGCATGGTGAGCACATGACGACTCCCGACTGGCTCGCCTTGCTGAAAAAGGACGTAGATGTTTTTGCTTGTGACTGGGCTGTGATCCATGCTGCCATGTATGAGATGTATGTTGCTTCTTCTAGTGTTGAGGATGACTGTTACTCGTGTGTGCCTAGAGTTGCTAGGGTAGAGGCTGCTAGTCTTGGTGCTTTTGACTCAGCTAGCACAGGTGCAGAGCCTGAGGAGACCTTGCACACTTTTACTCTCGACTCAGGCGTGTCTTGTTGCTTCTTCCGCGACAGCACCACAGTCACACCGGTCACATCCCCTGTCCCTGTCACACTGGCCGATCCCTCCGGGGGGGCTGTAGTCGCGCGTGGCGCTACTGTTCTCCCTTGTCCGACTGCCCCTTCCGGCCTCCTCACAGGTCTCTACCTCCCCTCGTTCGCTAAGAACTTGGTGGCTACCTCTGTCCTCCAGGACCAGTGGGTCACTCTCACCCAGCCTGGAGGCGAGCTAGTGGCGATCTGTAGGGACTCGCGCACTGGTGAGCACCTCGCCACGTTCACTCGGAGGCCTGGGTCTGGCATGTACACACTGACCAATGAGTCTGCACTGGTAGCTGAGTTGGGTCAGGTAGCTGCGTCGGTTGAGGTCGCTGCGTCTTGTTCGTGTCGTCTCCTCACGCACCAGACTCTCCTCTGGCACCACCGTCTTGGCCACCACTCCTTGCCACGCCTGCGTGGCATGCACTCCCGTCTCCTTGTGTCTGGTCTCCCCAGGTCCCTGCCCCGCTTCCGAGGTCGCTTGCACCGCGCTGCCTTCCCTGCGTCGAGGGGCGGCAGCGCACCGCTCCTCACTCCTCCTCGTTTCCTCCTACCACTGCTCCTCTGCAGACCCTGCACATGGACGTGTGGGGCCCCGGCCGCATCACTGGACAGGGTGGCGAGCGCTACTTTCTGCTGGTTGTCGACAACTACACGCGCTACACAACGGTCTTCCCCTTGCAGAGCAAGGCGGATGTCCGCGGTGTCTTGATCCGCGCTGTCCGTCTCCAGCTTAGCGCTCGGTTCTGTCAGGACCTCCCAGTCCTGCGGCTGCACTCTGACCGAGGTGGTGAGTTTTGCTCACGCCTCCTCGAGGAACTGCGTTGCTCAACAAGTTCGTCGAGAACGCGGGGAGGTGGAGACCTGAGAGAGACCCTTAGGGGACTGCCGGACACGGGAGGACAGTGGAGGCTTGCGCAACTACTGGGCCCCCAGTGGGGTCAGCCAGTGAGACTGGGACAGGTGCTGCGAGTGGTGTGACTGTGGTGCAATCACGAAAGAAGCAATGTGACACGCCTGAGTCAAGTGTGAAAGTGTGCAAGGCCTCAGCTGAGGCATGACCTGTGGCAGTAGACGCACTAGCACGTAGAGCGTCGGCAGACTCACGAGCACCTAGAGCTGCAGCAGACTCACTAGCACCTGGAGCAGCAGCAGACTCACTAGAACCGAGAGCAGCAGCCTCTACACCACCAGGGACGCATCGCTGAGAAGCACAGTCGCGAAACTGCTGCAGGGAGAAGGTGCCCTGCGGACGCTGCTGCCGCCGCTGTGCAGTACCCATAAAACCAAAACCTCCACCACCAAGACTTCCTCGCTGAATAACACACTCACGAAGCTGCTGAGGGGTGGGGTTGTCCGGGAGAGGCAGTGACTGCTGCTGTCCACCCCTAGTCGCTGCAACTACCGTGATAGTGGCCATGACAGCTAGTGACGGTCAGTAGCTGGTCCAGCACGAGCAGCAGCAGCAGTAGTAGCAGCAGGGCGGCTCGGTGGGGCTGGCGAATGAGGCAGGGCGACGCGGCTCGGGTTGGGCAGTGCGGCTCGGGCTGGGCGGCGCGGCTTGGGCTGGGCGGCGCGGCTCGGCAGGCCTCGGCGGCGCGGCTGGGCAAGGCAGGGCGCGTCGCGGGCTGCAAGGCAGGGCGCGCGGGCCTAAGGGCAGGGCAGCGCGATGCACTGGCTACATGGCAGCGGGGCGCGCGCTGGACAGGGCAGCAGGGCGCGCGCTGGGCAGGGCAGCAGGGCGCGACGCGCTGGGCTGCAGCTGGGGGCGACGCGCAGGGCAGTGGGGCGCGCGCTGGGCAGGGCAGCAAGGCGCGGCACGCTGGGCTGCAGGGCAAGGCGCTGCGCGGGCCTAAAGGCAGGGCAGCGCGGCTCGCGAGCTGCAGGGCAGGGCGGCGCGCGGGCCTAAGGGCAGGGCAGCGCGATGCACGGGCTGCAGGGAAGCTGGGCGCGGGCTGCAGGGCAGGGCGGCGCGCGCTGGACAGGGCAGCAGGGCGCGACTTGCAGGCTGCAGCAGGGCGCGACGTGCGGGCTGCAGGGCGCGACGCGCAGGCTGCAGCAGGAGAGCGCGCTAGGGAAGGCAGTGCGAGTAGGTGCAGGGCAGCGCCGGACATCGCAAGGGCGCTTCGGGCAGGAACTAGCGGAACTATCGGTGGGCCCTAAAAACCTAACAGGTTTCTTGCTCTGAATACCATGTCAGAATCAACTGTGCAGGAATGATTGACTTGCAAGTAAGGATGAGTACAAGTACTACGTTTGACCTAAGGGTTGTACTCAGTAGAGGCTACCCCACTACACCCTACACATACAAATGTAATTTGACATGGCAGATAGCCATGGACGCAGAGATGGCTTTCTGGAAGTCCACAGACACCTACGTCGACGTAGTTCTCCCACCTGGGGCGAACATAATCGATGGCATGTGGATTTTCAGGGTGAAGCGGCCGCCGGGTTCTCCGCCTGCCTTCAAGGCGCGTTACGTTGCACGAGGCTTCAGTCAGCGTGAGGGGGTCGACTTCTTCTAGACCTTCTCCCCCACTCCGAAGATGACAACTCTTCGGGTGCTAGTGCACGTTGCAGGACAGCGCGACTGCGAGCCGCACTCCCTAGACTTCTCGACAGCCTTCCTGCAGTGCAGC